TTTAGCCTTTGCTCATAAGACAGTCCCTCCATTCTAGGGATCATCCTATTGAACCTTTTCTGAACTGCCTCCATTAAAGTTAAATATTTCCTTAAATAAGGAGCCAAAACTGCTCAGAGTACTGCACATATGGTCTCACTAGCACCTTGCACAGTTGCACTAAAACCTCTCCACTCTTATACTCCAATCCCCTTGAAATATTGACCAACATTCCATTAGCCTTCCTGATTACCTGCTGCACATGAGCTAGCTTTCTGTGTTGCATGCACAATTGCCCCCAAGTCCCTTTATGTTGCAGTTTCCTCTAAATTCATCATTTTGAAATATATATCCATCTCTCTTTTGAAACCTCTTAACCTGGTATCTGTCTTTGCATTATCCTATGATTTTTCTTTAAGTTTGATACTACCTTTAGCTTTTCAGTTAACAACGCCTTTCCCCCTTTTTCTCCTTTCTTGTCGGAATGTATCTCATCAATGTGTTCTGAAATATTCCCTTAAATGTCTGTACTGCATCAGCATTGACCCATCACTTAACCTAGCTTGCCAGTTCATTTTAGCTACCTCTGCTTTCATACCTTTGCAATTGCCATTATTTAACTCGAAGTCCCAGTCTTTCTCAAACTGAATTTGAAAATCAAACAAATTATGATCTTTCTTGTCTAGGGGTGCCTTCGCAATGAGGCCATTCATTAATCCTATACCAGGACTTGTACAGTCTGCTCTCTGGCTCCAAAATGTCCTAAGAAGCTATCCTGAAGCCATTCTATGAACTCCTCATTTAGGCTGTTGTTGCCTCTGGTTTTTCCAGGCTATATATGGGTTACTTTTGAGAAGCTCCCATTATTTTTTTCCTTTATACTGTTTAGTATGGTTTGATTATTGTTTGGAGGCCAGTACATCGTTCCCACAAGTGACTCCTTGCCTTCATCACTTTTCATCTGTACCAAAACCACTTATACATCTTGGTTTCTTGAACTTGGGCCATCCCCCTCTCTTATGCCAATAGTAGCATAAACGAATAGAACCATTCCATCACCTTTTCCTGGCTACCTCTCCTTTCTAAATGTCCTGTATTCTTCAATATTCGGGTCCCAGTCTGTCATCCTACTACCGTGTCTCTGTAATGTTAGCAGATTGTAGTTATTTCCTTTATTCATTAATGGGATGAGGGCATCGCTGGCTAGGCAGCATTTATTGCCCATCTCTAATTCCCCAGAGAGAGTTCAGAGTCAACCACATTGCTGTGGGCCTGGAGTCGCCTGTAGGCCAGACCAGGTAAGGATGGCAGTTTCCTTCCCTAAAGGACAATAGTGAACTAGGTGGGTTTTTCTGACAATCGACAATGGATTCGTGGTTGTCATTAGATTCTTAATTACAGATATTTTATTGGATTCAAATTCCACCATCTGCCACGGCAGGATTCGAACCTGGGTCTCTGGATTAACAATCCAGCGATAATATGACTACGCCATTGCCTCCCCTAGTTATTTCTATTGGAGCTATCACTTGATCTGTTTCATTTGAATGCTGCATGAATTCAGATGCTGAGCCTTTAGTTTTGACTTTTTGTTATGTTTGTAACTTCTAGCCTTATCTGCTGATTTAGGCTTTGATTTGTACTCTCTAACCCTTCCTGTCATCGTCCAGTTATCATTTCCAATATTGCGTTTAAAAATTTTCTCTTGCATTCATCAGGATAATTTATAGGAATAGCAAAATAAGGTGTAAACAGCATTTGTGCTGTATGAGAGGAGAGTGTTGATTGGTTGGCAAGTGGGCTGCGATTGGTAGAGGTGGTGACTGAGAGTTAACTACCCAGCTTTTTAAAATCTTAAATCGGGTAGATTGACTGATCAACACATTGCCCTGAAAAATTAATGGCTCTTTTATTGCACTGAAACAGGTACAATGTGCATACTTTTTTATGTAACTGCAAAGATCAGGGCCCTGTGTAGTAATGTGCTCGGGACCTAACCTGCTCATGCTTGCAAAATGCACAACAAAGCGACCAACGTTGCATGTGAATCTGCACTTGGACATTTGCTAGATAATCCTGAGTGTGGGAAGAATTATGTTGACAGCCTGTTTAGGGTTGTCAATTGAGCACCAGCATTCAGTGGAAGTTACAAATATTAATACATGTAGGTTAGGGTAACCCCAGCCTTAACCCAACCACTACCGCAATTGAATACGTACCGCTGTCGACTCTGATAAGTGAAGTATGACTGTTTGTGACAATGGAATGCTTGATGCCCCATTCCCGTAGATAATTGGCTTTGTCACCTTGCTCATGTGAATAAGGTAAGCCCTTTTCCACTAAGAGTTGTCTGTTCAGCAGCCACCAGGTTATTTTGTGTTGGGTTCTGGAAAAGTCCAAGTGAATTGTAGCAGAGGAAGTACAGGGTACTGTATGTTGTAATGATTCAATTGGCGTCACATATAGGCTGAGTTTATGCACTTTGTGACCCCGGTCAATCAAACCACTTCAGAAGTGGTAAGATCACCACGAGTCATTTCAAGAAGTGCTGCTGGTTTCCATTGTGTTTGTATCGCTGTCGTCGACCAGTGTGTGCCAGGTTGCAGTTGGCTTGGTTAAACACAAAACCACACACTTGTTGCAAATGTGGTGCAGCGACGTGACAAAATCCATGTCGTAGTGGTGAGACTGCACGTTGGAGCCAAGTATACAGCGGCCTGTGTGAACAAATCTACCACCTGTCTCAGCTCACTCCTCATTAAACTAAGAACAAAGTGGAAAGTGGCGTGTTTTTGCCCTTCCCCTTATTGCTTTCATTCATTGTCAGCTATATTTAAATGTTGGAGAATGCTCATTAAGGGACTTTTTTATTTTTGGTTTGGTATGTTTTCCCACCCCTCTTCATCTAAGCGAAACTTTGGTCTTGACTGAGGGAACTGAAGCTAACTCCCACTGTCTCACTATAGTTCTTGAATTAATGTGCATTGTTGTCCTATGATAGTTCATTTCAACTTTGAGGGTGGTGTTCTTGGGGGTTGTGTGCTTTTGTTAGAACATAGTAGACTTTAATTCCCAGCCATACAGGGCATTCTGGGTTGTCAAGGAAGGAGCAGGTGCTCACAGAATGAGCAAAGGAGTAAGTGGCCTGTTCTGTATTGAAAATGGCTGTAAAGCTGTTTCTATTTTCCTGCTTACTTTCTCCTCATGACCCCTGAGGAGCAGCTCCCTTAGTTGACTGTGGGTTCCATTGGAGTCAGATGTCATCTGGTATCTCATGCAGATAGCCATTTCTTCACCCAGATACTGAGTGTTGGCAAGCTGCTCCCTTGCTGAGCATCATCTTGCTTCCCTCCCTTCCCCAGCTGCTCCCGCTTCTCCATGTCCAAGCAGATGTGATATCCAACAAGAGGTTGCTGAAAAACAGTTCAAAATGGGAGATGAGACAAATTGAAATGCCCTCTTCCACTGCCAAGACTCGGTAAACACACCACAGACTTAACCCAGGACCTCCTGGTCCGTATAGCCCAGTGACTCACTACATAAACTTGCTGTTTATGTGTCTTCTGTCAGGCAGATTGTACTGCAAACATCTGAATTTTCTTCTTAAATGAGCATTGGGATTTAAAGCATTGTGAAAGTAGGGTGTGGTGGGACAGCAAGGACTGACCTTTTGGCCTCTTCACCAGTCATGCATTGTTTAATTGTGGTTTTAGCAATTAAACTGTCTAAGTTGGTACCAGTCCTACTTTAATGTGTCTGTAATAAGTACTGTTCAATCTTCTATTATATGCCACTCTGCAAAGGAAGTGATGACTTGAGCATGGGTGAGCTGGCCTCGTCAAGGAACACTCTGAACTGTGTCCTTGGAGACGGTTTTAGGGGTACTGAGTTCAAAGCGGAGGCTGTATTTGGAATGTTTGCCCTTTCTGCCAGCTGTTGACTTGAAACTTTAAAATAAAGGATTGAAAAGCAGAACCCAGAAACAGGGCTGTGTATCGTATGGTCTTATGAAATGAAGTGAGAAAATGTAACCGTGTGTGCTTTCCAATTTCTTTACGGAGTTCAGAGTTACTTTAGTGCCTTTGGGGGAATGGGGAAATGTCTTCTGTTATTTTCTACCAGGACCTGAGAGCCCTGGTAAGGTTGGAAGGTGAGAGTGATTGTTACTCAGTCGAAAACTCGACGCTCCTGAACTTTCTGCTATCACCATCTGTGCACCCTTCCTCTAACGATTCCTGGTTACGTCTGCTGTCTGCGTAGGCTCCATGCAAATTCAGGATGTCAGACATACGTTCTACTTTCCCAGGCTCGATCACCGTCACTCTGAATGGGCTGGTTGCTATGTGCAAGATGCCTGGACCGCTTCTTGCTGGTCGTTTCTCCATCCCTATACAGGCCTTGATGTGATTCTCCCAAAAATGCTGAGTTAGTGGCATTGAGATCGAAGCTTTTGGTGACCGTTACATCAGGACTCTTTAACCTGGACCATCTTGGTTTTTGGGGTCGGGGGGCGGTGGTTGCCGGTGGTGGCAGTGGGGAGGTTTTGCTCAGGCTGAGATGCCGAACAGACTGACTATGTTTTTGTGGTCTGATTATTAGTTTGTAGCCCCAACCTGCATAAGACACCTGATTTCTGTCGAGTGGTTAGTACACGTTTCACTGATTTCCAATAAATGTTTTGCTTGTGACCTTGTTTCCCTGTTCCCAAATGGGTTGAAAGTTCAGGCTGATGGCAGTACATCGTTCTCTGGGGGATGCGTACTGGGACACACTGTACCTCCAATTACCAGCAGAGGGCGGCACATTGTTGCGAGGTGCTCAGCATGGAGAGCCTTGGCAGAAGCTACAGGCCTGTGTGACCGTGGGCACGTTTCTGCTCCAAGCATCTGCTTCTTGCCACTGAGTTGTGGTCATGCTGTCCTCTGTCTCTGATGTTGACTGCTGATAAGAACATGCTGCAAGTAGATTAATTGTCTCTTTTCTCTTCCCCTCTCCTTCCACCTCCCCCCACCAAAAAACAGCTGAATAAAAGATTTATCCTGAATTTCCTCCATGCCCAAGGGAAGCTGTTCACAAAGATAGGGTAAGTGCAAAAGACCCTTTTCTCTTGTGTATTAAAGATGACACTTCAATGGTTCCTCTGAGATTTTCATTTCCTGAATAGTGTTGAAATTAAATATTGTAATGCCAGCAGTTTTAACTTGTTAAACAAACTTGGCATTAACTCTTTCTGAGCTGTTCTGACTGTTGAATAGTGATGTGCCTTCTTGAAACACTCTAGAAATTGGAGTGAGCAGTTGTGACAGGTTTTGTTGGCAACCCATGCTTATGACCAATATAAAAGGGTTATGGCAGCATCTTGATGACTGATTTTGTTTTGTACCAAGGTGTTACTTATTCATTCTCCCAGAGCAGTGTACGGAGCTGCACTGTTACAGCACTTTGACCAGCTGAAATGGTGTAAACTCCAGGCAGCAAGTGTGAGAGGCTTGGCATCTTCAAAAATCCGTCTCTCCTGTGATATGTGCCCTGAAAATGGGTGCATTGCAGACAGAGACACAAACTGGATATATTCTCAGTTAATCCTGTTAATGTTCTCTTCCTGATATCATTTCAAATGATGGTCAGTAAACTTTGACTTAAGCCAAAATAATGTTGCACAGTATGTGATTTGTAGTCTCTCATAGTGGTTTACATCCTGGTGTGTGTCTCATGTGACTTATTATGTAAATGTAGACCCTGAATATGAAATGTGAATCGATTATTGAGAGCCAGCAACAGCACACTCCTCAATTGCTGATAGATTGAATTAAATCTTGCTCTTTGCATGTGAGATATTCAGTAATACATAAGACACAGGATGACAATCAGTCATTTACAATATGGTTTCCCAGAAGTCCACTTTAATACTGTCCTAAAAGTGCAAAAATTAAGTTAGGTGGAGTGACTTTCTCAAAGTCACCCATTGAATTTGGATTATTCTTTTGGTGATAGTTCTTAAAGTTTAAATGTTTTGAAACGCCATGTTATGATAGCAATTGTGTTTGACGATTTATTATGGGTGGAATAGCCACAGTAGTGTTGTTTGACTTGCAAGTTGACATGTGATCCTGTGTACATTTTCTGCTGACCTATGGTGTAGACTTAACCAGCTTTGGGAGGGATGCAACAGATATGTCAGTGGAATGGTTAAACTGTGAGGGCAGCGAGGCTGCAGTGATGTTTTGAGAAAGCTGCTGTGACACTATTGAGGTTATTGTGACATCGTAAAGAATTGTTGTCCCTGCAGAATGAGATTCAGGAATGTGGAGTAATGATTCATTGCGCAATGCATAAACAGTACAGATTAATGCTCTGTGAGTGATATACCTTATCTCAATGGAATTTCTGGGTCAAAGCATTGAGATTTTGGGGGTGTTACATCCTTGCATGCATCCATTTGCCACTGTTGCCCGCCTGAGTGTTTGTCCCTCTTCTGTGTGAGTAGTTTGTTCTTTGCTCACTATGTGCACTTGCACACCAGCATGTCACTTTGTTTCTAGTCTCTTACTCCATGAATGTGCTGCAGTAGTCTCTTGTGCGCTTGTGACACTGCTTGCCGTGCATAGGTCTGAAGTATTTGTCTGTTGGACTCTTGACTATGTGTGGAGGAAATTATAAAGTGACATAGATTCAGTAATACACAAAAACAGCATTGCTGGGGAAACTCAGCAGGTCTACTAGTGGTCAGTGGAGAGAGGACAGAGTTACCGTTTCAAGTCAAGTAACCTATCTTTAGAACTGGATTCAGTAAGTTGAGGGAAAACTGAATTCACTGTTGGAAATTTTTTTTTTAAATCACTCGTGGGACTTAGACGCTGCTGGCTGGGCCAGCATTTATTGCCTGTCCCTAAGTTGCCCTTGAGAAGGTGGTGATGAACTGCCTTCTTGAACGATTACCATCCATGTGTTTATAGGTTGACTCTCAATGCCCTTAGAGAGGGAATTCCAGGGTTTGGACCCAGTGAACCTGAAAGAATGGTGATATATTTCTAAGTCAGGATAATGAGTGGCTTGGGGAACTTGCAGGTGGTCGTGTTCCCATATATCTGTGGCCCATGTCCTCCTTGATGGAAGTGGTCATGGGTTTGGAATCTTTGAGTTTCTGCAGTGCATCTTGTAGGTAGTACTGTTGTTACTGAGCATTGATTGTGGAGTAAAAACTGAAAGACCTGCAGATGCTGTAAATCAGGAACAAAAACAGAAGTTGCTGGAAAAGCAATTTGATTGTGTAGTGACTGGCACCATAACCACAAACTGTCAAGCAAGCTGCTTTGTCCTGGACAGTATTAAGCTTCTCGTGTTGTTGGAGTTGCACCCATCCAGGCAAATGGGGAGTATTCCATTGTATGCCAAATGTGTGCCTTGTAGACGGTGGACAGGCTTTGGGGAGTCAGGAGATGAGTTATTTGTTGTCATATGCCTAGTCTCTGACCTACTCTCGTAGCCGCTGTGTATGTATGGTGAGTCTGGTTCATATTGTGGTCATTGGTAACCCACAGGATGTTGATAGTGCAGGGATCCAAGGATGGTAACGCCATTGAATGTCAGGGGTTGATGATTAGATCATGTCTTATTGGAAATAGTTGTTGCCTGGCATTTGTGTAGTGTGAATTTTACTTGCCACTTGATTGTCCAGATCTTGTTGCATTTGAACATGGACTGCTTCATTATGTGAGAAGTTGTGAATGGTGCTGAACATTGTGTCGTCATTGATGAACATCCCCAGTTGTGACCTTATGATGGAGGGAAGGTTGTTGGTGAAGCAGCTGTAGGTGGTTGGGCCTAGGACACTACTCTGAGGAACTCCTGCAGAGAAGCTGAGATCACTGATTTCCAACAATCATAATCACCACCCTGTGTGCCAGGTATGACTCCAACCAGCAGAAAGTTTGCTATCTGCCACCCATGATTCCAGTTTTGCTTGGGTTCCCTGATGCCACACTCGATTGAATGCGGTGTGTCACTATTGCCTAACCTCTGGAATTCAGCTCTTTATTCCATGTTTGAACAAGGTTGTAATGATGCAAGAAATGCTAATCCTCCTCCTTCATGAGAGACATGGGAATGTGGAGGAATAAATGGGTTTGGGCATGAAAGTTGGCATATCACTCATTGCGAGTACTGAAGTACTGCCACAATCAATAGGCTCATGGAATAAAAACTGAAAATTCTGAGAACACTTGCAAAGCCAGGTAGCATTTGTTATTGAATCCCTTCATGGGATTTGGGTGTCATTGGCAGGGTGAGCACTTATTGCTATCCCCTAATTGTCCTTGAATTGAATGATTTGTGATCCCATTTCAGAAAACAGTTAAGAGTTAACCACATTGCTAAGAGTCTGGAGTGTCCTGAGTAAGCCAGACTGGGTAAGGAAGGCACATTTCAATTCCCAAAGGACATCAGTGAACTGTATGGATTTAAACACAATTGATGAGCGCTTCATGGTCACCATATTGAGACTAGTTTTCAATTCCAGATTTCATTAATTGGCTTAAATTTCACCAGCTGCCCAGGACATTAACCAAGACATCTGGATAAGAAGTCCTGTAACATTACCGTAATGCCACTGTCTCCTCTATGTAGACTAAAAGAGAGAGAATGGTTTGGATTGATGGCCTTCCATCTTGACTCAGTTTATACAAAAGGTTGGAAGTGCTCCTTCAATTGTGCAGCAGCTTAGTTAAACTCTGCTTGGAGCATTGCTCTGCTCTTGCCACAACATCTCAGGAAAGAAATGGTGACCTTGGAGGGGATGGAGCTCAATTTCACCAAAATTATACCTGGGCTTCATTTATGAACTAAATTATGAGTTCAATTAAAGGTTGTATAAATGTTCTTTGAATTCCCTTGAGTTTAAAAGGTTATGGGGTAGTGTAATTGAGGTGGTTAAAATGATTAAGGGATTTGTCCAGGTAGTTACAAGAAACTATTTCCTCTGTTGAGGAAATCCAGAACAATGGGGGGGGACATGATCTTAAAATGAAGTCTAGGCTGTTTAGGAGTGAAATCAGCAAGTAGCTTCTCAAAGAAAGGGTAGTGGGATTCTCCCTGTTGGTGGTGGAGTTCAACTGAAGTTCACGAAATTGAGTTTGATAATTTTAGGAGCTAAGGATATCATGGGGTATGGGCAAAGGTGTGTAAAAGGAATTGATTTAAAGAGTACCTATAATCTAATTGAATGGCTGAATAAGCCCAAGGGTCTTAAATGGCTTATTGACCCTCTGTGCGTCTGATTTAAACATCCACATCATCGCCAACCTTCCAAATTTCTCCAAAGTCTATAAAAGTATTGTTATCACCCGCCTTTTCTATAACTAATGTTTGATTTGCTACAATCAGATTTTCACCCTATTGCACTAGAAACGCAGCCCTTACAAAGGGAATTTGGAAGAACTTGTGCACAAAACACAAAGCTAGCAGATAACCAAGAAAGCTAATGGAATGTTGACATTTTGTGACTAGAGCAGTACATTAAGAACATAAGACCACTACAGATAGAACCAGGTGGAGGCCATTTGGCCCCCTCAAGCCTGTTCTGCGATTCAGTAGGATCATGGCTGATCCAACCTTCCCGCCGTCCACTTTCCTGCACTTTCCCAGTTACCCTTGATTCCCCTATTGATCAAGAATGTATCTCAGCCTTAGTATTTACAGTAACTCTGCTTCCACAGCTCTCTGTGGCAAGGAATTCCAAAGACTGTTCGCCCCCTCAGAGAAGAAATTTCACCTTATCTCAGCCTTAAATTGGCACACCTTTATTCTGAGTCTTTGCCCTCTCGTCCTAGACTCTCCCATGAGGGGAAACATCCTCTCAGCATTTACTCTGTCAAACTACTTAAGGATTCTACATGTTTCAATGAGATCCCCTCTCATTCTCCTGTGAGTGTAGTCCCAACCTGTTTAGCATCTACTCATTAGACAATCCCTCCATACCAGGGGTTGTCTTAGTGAACCTTCTCTGAACTGCCACCAATGAAATAAATAAGGGGACCATAAATGCTCTTAGTACTCCAAATCTGGTCTTACCAGCGCCTTGTATAG